CTGGATGGTTTGAAGTTTGCACTGATGATGTCGTTCAGAAGAACGATGAAAGCTCCACAACTAAACTAACCAGCTCAGAGAACAAAACTCCACCAAAATCATCCACCTGAGCTACAAATCTTCTCCACCATCTCAAAAGAAGAAGTACACAATCACACAGACGAATAGATTCACAAATAAACAAACAAACAAACAGGGAGTAAAGTAACACAAATCAACAACAATGTGTTAATGATTTTTTTCTTCTTTTTTTTATTGTTATCAAGGAAAAATTGTACATTGAACAAATTATTCATTGGTTCTTTATACAAATTAGAACAAAATTCAAACATTATCATAAGATCAAACAAACAAAAAAAGGTGTACATTTTTAATTTATCAAATGAGAGAGAGAAAAAAAAAGTGAATTACAATTAGATAGTATTATGTAAACAATGATAGATACTACTTATAAAATTATTAAAAACAAAATCTTATTTTATAATGGTTACAATTGTTCTCAATCAAAATATATACCATACATGTATCGAGTAGAGTATGCAAGTATACAAGACCTACACATAGATAGATACACACATAGATACACACTACTTTACATATACAGAATGAGTATAAACTTTAATACTACACTGTACAAATGTATTAAATGATATAAAATAAAATGAAAAAGTAAAGTAGCACATTAAGATTCAATAACAAATACATGTAACTAAAGTTGAAACTTGCACTGGTTTATCCTTTGTGTGTGTATCAGTGTATATGTATGTGTATGTATGCATTGTGTGTGTGTTGGCATGATTATTCTAATCACAGTGTTCATACATACATGCATTGATATATTGGCACATAGTGATTACATATATATGTGGGGGGGGGTGAGTGTGACGGAGACAGCCATGAAAAAATAGAGAGACATATAGATACAGAGTATATTTCTCTGGATTTCTTTTTTCAATCTAAATTTTAAAAAAATGATGAACAATAGGCACTCACTTTGTAATTTTACATCAAGTTAAAATGAAAATGAATACTGTAACCAGCTGGATTAGTCTGTGGATTTACAAAATAAAAACAAACAAAAAAAGGAAGATAAAAAAATGATAAACAGAATTAATAATCATGGAAATAAACTATTATTACTTTAATTTCACTAATTATGAATTAAAGATTCATCAAAAATTCAATTCTGAGTATCCACACATAATGGGGATGCTATAAATAATGTGAATGAGAATCAGTGAGTATATGAACTTAGTAACTCATTGATCAATCATTTATATATCCTGATAATAATAATAATTACAGAATTCATGTCAGTTTACAGCGGGATGATCAATGTGATATAAATAGTAACATTAGATGTACAGAACAAACATGTGATAGAAGTAAGTTTTAAGTATACTAGTTCAGTAATTGTTGAGGTAGTAGTACATGTATTATACAGCGATCCAATGTATCAGACGGGAATTTTTAATATTTCTTAAATGGACACAACCTGTTGATTTATGAACGGTGTGATATATTAAGGTCATTTCCTGTGCCAGATCGAATTAATGATAATTATCTACAACTAGAGAAAGTAAGATGGAAACAGAGAACACGGAACAATAAAGCAGTAATTACCCAAATATATCAATCAGGTCTACCTAAATGCGTGTCTCATGTGACATAGTGATATACTGTTGATGTTATTCAAATTAGTTAAACTTGCTAGGGACAGTGTTAACATAAAATGACAGCAAGTAGGTGGTTTTATTTAGAGAATGCACTAATAAAAATGGCTAAACATTTAAAGTGCCTATAATATCACTTGTGGAGTGAGATACAGTCAGCATGCTTATAGTCTCTATATTGACAGGTTTTTTGAATGGGTGGGTTAAAAGAGGGATAGATAGGGAGAGCGCAAACTACTATCTTATGGTCACTGCTTTTAAATTCATCATATACTTTTACAGATAGTGGGATAACATCTCTACTAAATATTAGATCGAGTATACTATCGCCTCTAGTTGGGGTATGAACCCACTGTGACCAGCAGTGCATGTTAATGGTTGCCGAGAACTCATCATTACATGACTGACAACTACCGATACTCCAGTTGATCCCAGGATAATTGAAATCCCCAGTGATAACCTTAGCATTAAAGTTTTGAGAGGACGCATGTATGAAAGCATTGATAATAAGATCATTCCCATTATTCGGACCATCAGGAGCTCTGCATATACACCCAAGTAGTAGACTATGATTCAGGGTGTTGACTGATATCCAGACTGATTCTGGTAAACTATTCAGGACAATATCTTCAACTTTATTAGTTGTTAGGGTATCCAAAGCATATACAATACAACCACCTCCTCACTTAGTTTCTCTGTCACAGCGATACAGTCGATAGTTCTGGATATTTAATTCTGAATCATATACTGTTTGAGAGCACGATGTTCAGTGATAAGTATGAAAGAAGGCTTGGTTAGAAAAGATAATGTTCTCAAGGCTGAAATTTTGTTCAGAAGTGAACGTGCATTGATAAGTAATAAGTTTAAAAAGGGAGTGTGGAGTGTAAAAAACCGAGAGCTTCCCTATTGATGTTGTGCATTTTGGATTTGCATAGACTGTGGTTTATTATGTTTGACTGATCACATGGGCTTTCGCTTGAACAAACTGTAGTGCTAGTGAGACAAGGGATTTCCGAAGGCCAAAAAATCATTATTTTGATAAAGTGGATTAATTTGTTGAACTTGACTAGACGGACAGTTAAGACAAGCACCTGCTAGTTGGGGTTGGGTTGATAGTGAGTAACCTAGTAGTCTAATCTTGCCCAATGGGAAAGTGTTGAGAAAAGTTACGTCTTACAGGTTTATTATTTAAAACGTTTGAGGGTAACCGTTGGGCACGTTGGTTCACTGTGGTCTGTCCAATATTAGGCCTGCTTACATAACGATAAGTCATGATTGAAAGTGAAAAGCATTGGGCTCGAGTTCTAATGTGAACATTTATACCGAGTTCCACGTAGATTGCAACTGACGAGTCCCAAATAAAATGAAAAGTACGTTTTGTATCCTACCTACTGCTAACCTTAATTCATCCATCCTACTTATAGTGGATGTATAGAAATAATTATTTGAAGTATAATTCACAAACTATGTAAGGTATATATAGTTTGAATGCAGTTTACACAATCTCATATTAGTGTATTATAGATTAGAATAATGCTATTTCTAAATTATGCCATAAAGTTGGGTGAATACATCTTGTGATGATGGGGAAGATTTGTAGCTCAGGTGGATCGTTTCGATGGAGTTCTGTACTCTGAGCTACATGGTCATTCAGAACAACGATGAAAGCTCTACAACCAAACCATCCAACTCAGAGAACAAAGCTCCATCAAACAAAGAAAAAATCTTGTATTTAAGAGAATGAGTTGAATTAATTTTATAGTATTGGACTTGTAGAAACAGTTCAATTTGTAATTCATTTTTTATAGATATGACATAGATATTGCGAGGTGATTACAGTTAGGAATTATGTAAAATCATTGAATTTCAACTTAATCATCTTAAGATACTTTATACAGAACGAAATACGAAAATCTGAAATAGGCCCTGGGTTCGAATCCCGCGAGGCGAGGTCGTGGATGCGCACTGCTGAGGAGTCCCACAATAGGACGAAACGGCCGTCAAGTGCTTCCAGGTTTTCCATGGTAGTCTAGCTTCAATTGATTCATGATCTCAACTGTTGAAATTACTACAATCTCCACAAAACTCCTGATACAAATAGAGTATGATTGAAGATTATTACTGTGTTATAAGCTAGAACTGGTTAACATCATTTTGTAATGAAGAAATAAAACTACCATTTAGACTATTCAATGATAAATAAGAGACATAATACTCAATGTTTTATTGCATTAAATAAGTTAAAGTTGAATATACATATAGACACTATCGAAATGTTAATAGGAAAGATTAAGTCTACATAGTGTACGGTTTGACGTTGGATGGTAGTAGGAAATTACGTATACAGTGACGTGGTGCAAACACTTCTCTTATGAAATACAGTGAGCTAATCAGAAATCTACAAATGATAACTACATGTGATTGGCGGTAATTCATGAAAAGTCGCTCACGAAAAGCTTATATGTGATCGGTCTCACGATGTTGTTTTGTGGACTCAGCAATTGTACTCCTGGATTGTCGAGACCACTCATAACCCAGTTTCCTTTACAGGTACCTAGACAAGAATAATCTTCCCATGATATGGGAGACAACGAAGCAAAACCACCTACACAACTGTAACACCATTTGAGCTAATCTAGCCTACAATGACTGGGAGATACGATCCTGAATTATCAAATTCATTGAGAAATAAACGTAAAGTCTGAGACAAGTGTGCATCAATTCAGGTATTTATGCTACATGAACACGATAATGAGAAAATAACAAGATGAATAGTGAAGAAGTGGAGTTAATGCATTAGCAGTGATAGAGAGAAGTACCAAAAATTGAGAACATAGTTTTAGAAAACGAAATGAAAAGGTATATATGAAGGAATGATGTAAACGAAGATAAAAAGTGAATGTTGTAGTTGATTTCAAGTTATTATCACCCGTCTCTAACCATTGGTCACAATTGTTACCAGTAAGCGTGGTTATCTTTTGGACTTTAACCGAGTAGTCCACATCTACAAACATAGGTCTGATCAACAATCAATGACCTTATAGATTGATCCCATGTTTTAGTCTGAGCCTCTAACTGTCTTTCCACCTAATCCTAACACCAGCTAGCTAATAACGCGCATCGAGGTGGATAAGAGTTGGATATATGTAACACATTTTTCAACCATCTCAATTGTAGAGCTTAAAGAAAGATGTCCGGTAATACTGTTAAGAATAGGAAATTGATGAGAGAATCGTTATACAATAAATACAATTTACACACACAGTTCAATATGGAACTTACTAGATCAAATAGAAGGTAAAGCGGACATTATCATCATCATCACCATCATGTATCATGAATTGATTCTTTATAAAAATTTGTTGTAAAAAACTTTTGTTTCATTATTTTCCTACCTGTAGGACTAATTATAGGTGATATGGAAGAATTGCAATGTTTAATAAATGTATCTTCTTCATTCTCTCCCAATGGATTTAATTGACCAGTTTCATTAGAAGTGATTAACAATGAGCTAGTAGGATTATAGTTTTGTGATGGATGAAATTCAGATGAAGAAGTAGTAATAGTACTTTGATTATTATTATTAATAAAAGGAGTAGTAGTTGCTGTATTAGGAGTAATAAACATACGTCGGAAATGATGTGCACGATAATTACTGAGATCAGCTGCTTCCTCGGATTCACCAGGATTTAATAATAAAGGATTAGAAAATAGTAAATCATTCTTTGATATATCGTCTAAATATTTCGGACTACTATTATCTGATGATGAGATAACAGTAAAGGGCAGTCTGGAATAATGAAGACGTGCTTCATGATCAAGAAATCCACCACCACCACTACCGCTAACACCACAACTACCAATATTTCCATCATAAGTTTTTCGAATAAATAATCGACGAAATGGTTCTACAATACCTGCCGTACTAAAACGAGTTTTTGATTGACGATAAACACGACTCGGTCGTTGTTTTATATAAACTGGATTACGAAAATCTGTAAGACCAGTCATTAAACGATTCCAAATACCACTGTTATCGATTGAATTACTGTGTGAAATGCCACTTTTTAGATTATACTTAGACATTTCAACAGTACTCATTATCAATTTCGATTTGTCACTGTCACCAGTGTTAGGTGCACCCATTCCACATGTGAATTGATCAAAATCCGCTGTAGTTTTATGAGATTGACCTGATGGTGAACTACGCCTTAGTCGAGTTTCACCGCCATAAATATTGGCACCATGTGTTGATTCATATGTATCAGTGATAATTTTTGAATGACTCAATTCAGGTGATGTCTGCTTTTCCGGTATAAAAATAGCTACTAGAATTGCTAACAGAACTAGAATAGCACCAAAAGCAAATGGTGGTCCTGGTATTAAACGCTTGAAGAAAGAAAAGTGTTGAAATGAAGAGAGAAAAAAGAATTAACATCTGTGTAAATAAAAACCCTAATGAATAACACAGTAATGATAAACTTATTGTTATTGATGTTTGAGACATGATTAAATGACTGAAGTTTGTACTGATTCATTTTTATTAATGTATGGTATATTACATAATGATTATCTTACAAATCAAACATTCCAGCTTTTATATTCATTTAAACCTTTACTGGATAAATGTACATAAAAACAATATACAGAGATTGTATTAATTAGATCAGAGATTATGACAACTACAAGGTATATCAATCTACAAAAGTAGGGTTCTCAAATGAACACTTCTCACGGCTTGAACTAGAAGATTTAATTTACGAACATTGATGATTATTTAATTAGCCTTGGTTTGAGACACTAACATAGGATATACAAAGTATATGTGATGAGTAGAACGTTTTTCGCATAGATACGTTAAAAATACTATAATACTTGAGGGTATTTTTTTATTTATTTCATTTGAACACATAAATATTGGTACAAAGAGGAACCGAATAGATATGCACCACACAAGTCACTTCATTTGTGTGTGGGCTGTGATACTACCCGGGTGCCCAGAACAAAACAGGTGGTTTCCTTAGGGGGCCACGCCCAGAACCTTCGACTTAAAGGTCTGATCCACATGACAGTGGAGCAACGTTGGGAGATGCAGTCCCATGGTAGCCGGTGACCAATAATTGGCTCATACACCATTTGTTTCTTCATGATCCTGAAGCCTATGTTCACCATTAGTTTGGAATCATGGTTTTTCAACTCCCCTAGATGGATCCTCTAGATCCACCAACCCAGTTAAAGCGCCGGACATTTGCTATTCGTCCTCTGAATTTCGTAAACAACACTCGTTGTGCGAGAAGGCAAGGAGTAGGACTTTCCTGGCAGTGACTGTATACGCATGGCCATGTGACAGTATTTGAAGAGGGAGAGCGGACTCTCACTACCCTCGGCCATACTAGGGGATTCGGGAGCAAACCAACCTTGATCGCACTAGCAATTACGATTTGATAGTTTAATCATGAACCCATGATACAAAATATTCACAGTTGTTGTTTCTTTTTTAAGAAGATATTCACAAATTGATGTTGATTCATCAGAAGAATTAACATTTAAACTTTAATAAATGAATCATTACAAGATCATTCGATCATATGAAAGATCTTTATAAAAGATAACTAGTTGTGAAGTTGCTTAAGAGGACGTCAGTTTATGTTATTGCATTGTAAAATAAAAAGAACAATGTACAGGACTAGGAACTATTGACTCATCACAACCCCTTGGTTATAATCTCTTAGTCTTGAACGATAAGAATGCATCAGCAAATGACATTGTAGTTTATCAGTGTAGGGTTGTGGAGATTGTCAAGTTATTGATTGAGATCATGAAACGATTGATGTTAGACCACCTTTGAAAACGTGGAAGCACTGGACGACCGTTTCGTCCTATTGTGGGACTCCTCAGCAGTGCGCATCCACAATCCCGCTCGCGGGATCTGACTAACTTCGTGAGAGATTTCTCGGAGTTCTAGTGAGAAGACGTGACCATTTGAGCTAATCAGTGTTGGGTAGGCACAGGTATCTACTTCAGTATAATGGAAAATGGTCGAGCAATTTTGTGGATTGGTTGAGGTTAGAAATTAATACCGTTGGATGCCGGCCAGCTCAGTGGTCTAGGTTAAGCGTTCGCACGAAAGACTGAGGGCCCTGGGTTCGAATCCCGCGAGCAGGATCGTGGATGCGCACTGCTGAGGAGTCCCGCAATAGGATGAAACGGTCGTCCAGAGCTTCTAGGCTTTCAATGGCGGTCTAACATAACTCGGTTCAAGATCTCAATCAATTTTAGTTTATCACTTAAATCTTAGTTTCATCTCAGATTAGTTATTATTTTGTTTGACTACCAACTAAGAAAATTGTACGCTTATTATAAATGTAACTAACACTTTCATTGATTTATTTTATCTTATTTCTACTCAATGATTCGTATGGGTAAGTTTAAATTTCCTTTAACTTTCTAACTGATTAGATAATCTTACGTTTTTGCACTGATTATATAAAAGTAGTAAATTTATATGGATGATCCTGACCAATCAATCAACCAGAATAAAGACAGTGGTTATTGGTTATTTAAAATACAATGATGAATAGCTCGTCTAAAGCTAATATTTTGCTTTTTAGACAATAAAAACAAACATCATGAAGCTAAATAGAATTGAGACAACTTTGAACACTTCTTAGAATAATAATGTAAAATTTATTGATTTTTTTTTTAGGTGAAAATACTAGAAATTGGAATTCTCGTGTGTTGTAAGGTAGATTGAAAGTTCTTGAGGTGGTGCCCAACTTTATGTAAGTACTAAACACACTTATATCCATTTATTTGTATACTGTAAGAAATAACTCTCATGAAAAGTTTCATTATTCATGTCTAAACTTTTTATTACTCATAATTTGAACGCATTTTTATTAGGAAATGCTTCATTACCATTTTTATTAGCTAGTTGTCAGTTGAAGTCAACGATGTCATTGAAAACTGGACTGAACCATGTTGATAGATGTAGACCACCTAGTTGGAGTCTGCATGATTATCGTAATCAATGGTTAGAGGCTTTGAATGATATGGCTCGAATTGGTCTGGAATCGTGCAGGTGAATCCATTCATTGTCTTCCTTTGAATTCTGAGCTTTTAAATTCTTAATTTTGTTTCAATAATTTATATTTTGTTTTAGAGCCATATCTTCGATGCCTGATTTTTCTTATTTCCGCTGATACTATTACTGCCTCTACTATTCTAAGATTTAAACAGCGATAATGGGGTACGAGAATTTGAACCGATCTATATACATATCATGCTCAATGATGTGATCGATTGACTGAGACTCGTACTGGATCCAACACAAAATGATTTATTTATATTGACACTATAACCATGAGTAATAATAATAAAAACTCCGCCTGTAGCTCTTCCAGAGTTATTGCCGGTCCCAAGCCCTGGTAAAGGAGGAGGGTTGGGCATGGGGTTAGCGTCCCCATCTCGTAGAAAACTAACTCGCTAAAAAAACGCTTACCAGAAAAAATTATTCAAACCATTTAAACTCTGCCCTGAAAGTTAGGTCTTCATTTGGAAGAATTATGAAGCTTCATGGTGAAAGCCGAGTTCCTTCGGAAGCCACGAGGCCGATGCCCCTTCTAACAACCAGAGCAAAAAATTTTATAGGTACATGGAACGTCCGAACAATGTGGGAGACCGGGAAGACCAGTCTAATAGCAACGGAAATGAGGAGATACAGCTTGGCAGTACTGGGAATCAGCGAAACCCACTGGACCCAATCTGGACAGAAAAGGCTAGCTACGGGAGAGATGCTACTATACTCCGGTCACGAAGAGGACAATGCTCCACACACTCAGGGAGTCGCTCTTATGCTGTCCAAAGTAGCACGAAATGCAATTGTAGGATGGGAATCTCACGGATCCAGAATCATCAAAACATCATTCAAAACAAAGAAGGAGAAGATCACAATGAATATTATTCAATATTATGCACCCACCAATGATAGCAACGACGACATTAAAGATCAGTTCTACGAGCGGCTACAGTCAATCATTGAGAAATGCCCAAGGAAGGACCTCACCATTCTGATGGGAGATCTAAATGCCAAAGTCGGAATAAACAACACCGGATATGAAGATATTATGGGACGACATGGACTGGGTGAGAGAAAAGAAAATGGAGAAAGATTTGCAAATCTGTGTGCATTCAACAAATTGGTCATAGGACGCACAATATTTCCACACAAACGTATACACAAAGCTACATGGATCTCACCGGATCACACTACAAAGAACCATATAGATCACATCTGCATGAATAAAAAATTCCGAAGGACAATCGAAGATGTGAGAAATAGGAGAGGAGCTGACATAGCTTCAGATCACCATCAAGTTGTAGCCAATTTAAAACTGAAGCTAAAGAAGAACTGGACAACTGGACAAACAGCACTACAAAGGTTTACTACAGCCTTCCTTCGAGATACTGTCAAACTCAATGAATTCAAGATAGCTCTCAACAACAGGTTCCAAGCCTTACAGAATCTACTGAAAGAAGAAGAAACTACTATGGAGGACAACTGGAAAAGTATCAAGGAAGCATTAACTTCAACGTGTCAAGAGGTTCTGGGTCTAAAGAAGCACCATCATAAGGAATGGATCTCTATAGAAACACTGGACAAGATAAAAAAAAGGAGAACAAGAAGACAGCAATTAACAACAGCCGAACACGAACAGAGAAAGTCCAAGCACAAGCTGAATACATAGAAACAAACAAGCAAGTGAAGAAGAGCATTAGAGCCGACAAGAAGAAATACGTGGAAGAACTAGCAACGACGGCGGAAAGAGCTGCAAGGGAAGGAAATATGGAACAACTTTACGATACAACGAAGAAACTAGCAGGGAAATACAGTAAGCCAGAGAGACCGGTCAAAGACAAAGAAGGCAGGCCAATCAGTGAAATTCAACAACAGCAGAACAGATGGGTAGAGTACTTCGAGGAACTCCTGAATAGGCCGGCTCCAATGAATCCACCGGACATCGAAGCAGCACACACAGATCTTCCTATAGATGTCAATCCACCACCGACGGGAGACATCAGAATGGCCATCAGACAAATCAAGAACGGTAAAGCAGCGGGACCAGACATTATACCGGCTGAAGCACTGAAGTCAGACATCGAAGTAACTACAAACATGCTTCACCTTCTATTCAAAAAGATTTGGGAGGAGGAACAAGTGCCGATGGACTGGAAAGAAGGACACCTCATCAAGATTCCAAAGAAAGGAGACCTGAGCAAATGTGAACACTACAGGGGCATCACACTACTGTCAGTACCAGGAAAAGTCTTTAACAGAGTTTTGCTGAACCGGATGAAAGATGCAATAGACGCCCAACTTCGAGATCAACAAGCTGGATTCCGTAAGGACCGGTCGTGCACAGACCAAATTGCGACACTACGGATCATCGTTGAACAATCAGTCGAGTGGAACTCATCACTGTACATCAACTTCATTGAGTATGAAAAGGCATTTGACAGTGCAGATAGGAGGACGTTATGGAAACTTCTTCGACACTTCGGAGTTCCTGAGAAGATTGTCAATATTATCCGGAACTCATATGACGGACCACAGTGCAAGGTCGTGCATGGAGGACAGCTGACAGATGCATTCCAAGTAAGGACCGGAGTCAGACAAGGCTGTCTACTCTCCCCCTTCCTTTTTCTTCTGGTGGTTGACTGGATTATGAAGATCTCGACGTCTGAGGGAAAACGCGGAATACAATGGACAGCTCAGACCCAATTAGACGATTTGGACTTCGTAGATGACCTAGCCCTCCTATCACGTACACACGAACAGATGCAGATGAAGACAGCCAGTGTAGCAGCAGTCTCTGCATCAGTAGGCCTCAGCATACACAAAGGGAAAACCAAGGTCCTCAAATTCAAAACGGAAAACAGCAATCCAATCACTGTTGATGGCGAAACTCTGGAAGATGTAGAGTCCTTCACATACCTAGGAAGCATCATCGATGAACAAGGAGGCTCAGATGCAGACGTAAAGGTGAGGATTGGCAAAGCAAGGGCCGCATTCGTTCACTTGAAGAACATATGGAACTCAAAACAACTTTCAACCAATATCAAAGTGAGAATCTTCAATACGAATGTCAAGGCAGTTCTACTGTACGGAGCTGAAACTTGGAGAATTACAACAACCATCATCAAGAAAGTACAAGTATTTATAAATAGCTGTCTACGCAAGATACTCGACATCCATTGGCCGGATACCATCAGCAACAGCCTTTTGTGGGAGAGAACAAACCAGCTTACAGTTGAAGAAGAAATTAAGAAAAGACGATGGAAATGGATAGGACATACATTACGCAAATCATCAAACTGCATCACGAGACAAGCCCTAACTTGGAATCCTGAGGGAAGGTGGAAAAGAGGAAGGCCGAAGAACACATAACGTCGGGAAATAAAAGCAGATATGAAAAGGATGAATAACAACTGGAAGGAGCTGGAACGGATTGCCCAGGACAGGGTTGGATGGAGAATGCTGGTGAGCGGCCTATACTCCTTCACGAGGAGTAACAGGCGTAAGTAAGTAAGTAAGTAATAATAATATCAATGATAATCATCTAAGAATTTAATTTTAATCATAACAATACTTACTTCTTGTAAAAGTTGTACAGTATCAGATACTAGGGAGTTACTCTTATCCTTGTTGATTATATGTACACCTGATGTATGTTCATTGAGATCAACCTGTGTAAAAAAAGAAAATTTAAGTATATACATATACGATAATATTTTCAATAGTGTATTTCTTAGTCAATTGGTCATAGAAAATTAACAAGGATCTGTATTATGAATACATAAAACTGATATAAGTTATTGTTATCTATAAGTGTAATTCAAAGAGTAAACTATCAAGATGAATAGTAGGCGATATAGAAATACCATTAAATGTTGATGAAAAAGGTTTACCCACGTATGGGTCAACCAACATAAACAGCGAATATGACAATATCTATTTGACAACAATTGTTCAGGCAAGAAATCTGTCTATGTAAAATCAAGTATACAACATTATAGCACTTGATTAGTTATCTAGGACTGTCCAGTTCAGAAAATCAGTACTGAATTGTTATATCCGAACGAAGAATAAATGAGTGGTAACTACTAGGGATTATTTATGGACAATTATTACATATATATCCTTATTGGATAATTATTAAGTAACTAGATTATATCTATATTCATATTCCTTTTATCATAAGCTTTCATTTGACCAATTGGCTAGTGTTATTCGATTTACCATCCTCAATTTATTCCCACTTTTGGCTTGATCTTGAATAATTGTTATTTTTCATTTTATGGTATGAGGTGGTCTGGCCTGCTTGTACATAAACCACGTATGTCTGAAATATACAAATCACACAGTGGAGGCTGATATTCGTGTTCTGGACTGAACGAACTGGGTTAGGAGAGAAGCTACTATACATACAGAGGACCACTAAAGACTCCGAGATGACACAAGGTTGTTAGTGCTGGTTGGTGTATCAGTGGTTCAGCACAGGGACAAGGTCATATAAGCCGGTGTTCTGATTGGAGATTCTGTCATGTGATAATTGACAGCGCCATAAGCGATGACATGAATATATATTGCAAAGTGAAAAATATAATTCATTATATAATTTGCATCAAGGATTGATTTTAGTTAGACAACCATTGAGAATGAAGAAATACTGGACATCTCTTTCATCCTAATATGAGACAATTTGTTAATGTACGTCCATAACCCCAAAATGGATGGAGCAAAGGATTTCCGAGACTCGTGTCGAGCTTAATTAATTTGTCCACCAATCAGAATACAACTTATACAATCTTAGCACTATGTCAAACCAATGACGTTCAACCGACATGAGCAGTCTAGCGTCTTTATTGGTCCTGTGTCCTGCTAACCCGTCCACTTAGTTCCAGAACACAATACCAGCTTCTGCAATATGAATCGAATCTTTTATTTCAAACATACTCGGTTTATAATATATCAACCAGACAGGCCATAACGTACCATAAAATAGAAAACAACATTTGTACAAGATTTGGCCAAATGTGGCTGTGAGCGTGGGAGGTAGTAGTCAATAAACTGAACATAGCCTAAGAACCGTAATTCGTACAATAATAAATTATAGGTCAAAATAAAGCTTATAATAAGGGGGAGATATGAATATACATAATGTAATTGTTCAATAGTTATACCATAAGAATATATAGATAATATTAGTCCATTAATAGTCCTCGGAAGTTAACCATAATTTATTCTTCACTGGAATATAACAATTGATAGTGAATAACTGCACTTCAATCACATATCCAACTGATTATTGACTTCAAAAAAAATCGTCCATTTTTCAACTGTAAGTTGTATATCAATATAAACTGTAATACATGTAACAACATGTAATGGCTTACTGTGTGATAGTTTTACTTACTATTGTAAGTAAAACAATTTCAACAATGTTTAACTATTCTAATTTGAGACAAATTGAAGAAAAATCTTATATGAACATTATTTTTGTCATCGTTGAAAACGACAAATGATATTCGCTAGACCATCATTGGAAATCTAAGGATATTGGATAGATGTTTTGTTCTAGTGTACGACTACTACTCAGAAGTAAATATCCATGATTCTTTTTTTCTCTCAGTTAAACATAATTTTGTTTAGACACATACGCACACAGACAGACTGTTACCTAAACATTGTATTATTATTATTATTAATGTTAGTAGTACTATTGTATTTTTCTTGTGATAATGATGATTCTATTAAGATTATCAAGTAGATATGATAATTGAGATCATGAACCGATTGATGTTAGATCACCTTTGGAAACCCGGAAGCACTGGATGGCCGTTTCATCCTATTGTGGAACTCTCCTCAGCAGTGCGCATCCACGATCCCGCTCGCGCGAGAACGAAGGCCCAGGGTTCGAATCTCGCGAGCGAGATCGTGGATGCGCACTACTGAGGAGAGTCCCACAATCGGACCTGATGGCCATCCAGTGCTTCCAGGTTTTCAATGATGGTCTAACATTAATCGGTTCATGATCTCAATCAAAAACTTAATAATCTTCACAACCCCTATATTAGATATAATAATGTTTCATTGACTTAATTTCTAACAATGAATAATTTATCTTGTTTATGCCCTTTTATTCCGAATCTTTACAGTTATTATTAGTGTATCACCACCACCAACAACAAAAAAAAATTAATGAATTGCTTGTAAAAATTTTTACAATGTAAATCAATCAATAAGTTACAGAGGTGTATAAGTGTGTGTGTGTGTTTATGTGTCTATAGATGTCTGCACATAAATTGGCATAGATACATACGAGTACATACAATAATAAAAATAATAATGTGGACTAGAAGTCTATTAGATTTTATTGAAATAATTAAAATGTACACACAGATACAACACACACAAACAAACAGACATTGATACAAACTTATCGTGAAATGTACATCAATTGATAAAACTTTTATCTGTCCAAAAGTAGACCGATTGAAAACAAAAGAACAAAGAGTAAAAGTACTCGATGAGATGGGAGGGGATTTGTCAAAAGTTGATGACGTCATTTGTTTAAGGTAATTTGTATACATGCTAAATAATATTGTAATTAGGTTGGTTAATGCAAATCAGGGACTGTGTGGTAAAATAGTTCAAGGATGTGATAGATTCGAAATTTGGAATTATCATTAAAGAATTCTTTGTATCAGATTAGTTTAGATCAACTAATTATGTCTATTGATTGCATGACCTAGTACGGCTGAGAGCTGGGAGAGTCAGCCCTGCCTCACGAAATGCTCTCACATGGCCACGCGTATATAGCCTCTGCCAGGGAAGTCCTACTCATTGCCTTCTCGCGGCATTACTTTTGTTTACGAAATTGAGGATGAATAGTGAATGTCCGGCACCGGCTTTAAATGGGTTGGTGGATATGGAGAGTCCACCTAGGGGAGTTGGAAAACGATTATTCCAAAACAATGGTGCATATGGACTACCGTAACCTGAAGGAACAAACGGCCTATGAACCAGTTGTTGGTCACCGGCTACCACGGAACTGCATCCACTGCCTTGTGGATCAGACCTTTAGGCCAAAGGCTCCGGGTGTGGCCCCCTAAGGAAACCGCCTGTTTCGGTTTGGGCACTCGGGCAGTATCACAGCCCTCACACAAACCAAATGAGATTTGTGTGGCGCATATGTATCTGGTGTCCCCTTGTACCAATATCCAAATGTTCAAATAAATAAATAAATACTAATAATCGCATGTATTTATGTTTTTATAATCTATTAAGAATCTAATTATACAAGCAATCAAGAATAGCACTAAGGTAGTTTGTACACTAATCATTTGTAAGAAAAAGAAGTGATTACCATATACCAAGTATATTCGGCAATGAAAAATGGTGTCACGAAGACACGACTAATGATAAACATTATTTGTCCCAATTTTTTATGAGTAGATGAATAATACATTTAACTGATGAGTCTTAAATTCTACTGTTAATCAAAATCCCCTTCTATTGTATTAAAGTTTGGTATTTTTGTATGTATATTTGCGAAATATGTTATCGGTCTGGACACCCGGATAATATCACGGCTCACACACAAAATCAAATGACTTGTGTGTATTCCGTGTCCCTATGTATCAATATTTATGTGTTCAAATAAATAAATATCATGTAATCCAGTATATGTATGAAGTGAATCCTAAAGTACCAACTTAATTCACATTTATATGTTAGCATATCCTCACTAGTGATTGGCTTCAAGAGGTATAACCTCAATACTCCACACTCGGGTATTCCACGAAACGTAATGAATTCTTCGAAGGCACCCGTGATCTACAGTCTATGTGTATCTTCTTTCACAGATCGTGATACACAACCATAGACTACAGGAGAGCGGATTGCCGTGCAGTATACACACTCTCTGTTTGACAAACAAATATCTCGCCTTTACCACAAATGATGCAAGCTAGCAAATACCAAGCTTTCGGAATCCGTGAGGATATATATATACATATATATAAACCTTGATATACACATATTTATGTGAGAAAGTTAGAATTGACAAGAAAAGAATGCACACACATATAGGTATGGTAACTGTAGACATTGTCCTTGACCTTGCAATTAAATGTATTTCGCTATTGTCTCTTTTTTTTCATGAAGTCTCTTATTTCGTGCATAACTTTTTTAACGAATATTTGATAAAACCACCCACATACATGTTATTAATTACTAAGCCGAAATTTTGCACAGAGATAAAAATATACACATTGGAATGATGTTTGCTAAGTACAGACGATTGATTCATCATAATGCTCTTGTTAATTCACACACAAACATACAAATAAAACAACTATATGATTGACATGAAAATGATTAGAGAACAAAGAATTAGTTTTAATTACTAATTTTATATGTGAGTTTATTCATCCGATTTACCAATGTTGAATAGCCGTGCGGTAACCAGCATTTCAAGCTAATTTCCCGTTTGTTTAAGTTAGCAATGAACTTAAGAGCTAAAGTTATCCATATATGCATGCTATAAACACGTCAGTGTAGTGCATTCGAACACTCCAGATGCAATGAAAATTCAAGGGGTGGTTGAAATTAAATGTTATATGAACATCATATTCTTTTGTACAGTAATCACCAATTCAATGAACGTAAAAAGCATGAAAAA